CACACGATTGGGTGTGCACACATACTAGCGCACATACACACGATTGGGTGTGCACACATACTAGCGCACATACACACGATCGGGTGTGCAAGAACTCCCTGGTATCTCTGCGCACACATTTTTGGACAGTCTTCCAGTGACCAGCAGTGTTTAGGAGCTAGGTTTCAACAAGTAGGAAAAGACAGTGTGACAAAAAACTAGGTGGTCGCCGAGAGTCTGTGAAACTGAAGAGTCTTGTGAGAGAACTACGTAATACAAGGTGTTTTCTCCGCGCACACATTTGAAAAATCCCAAAAGGTGTTTTGTCACACACACATGTATGCATACATGCTTGCTTGCACACGCTCTGTGTCGCATAATAGCAGCTGACGTGGCCAGGCACGCAGCACTCCACTCTTTGATCTGGGCACAGTCTTTTCCACATTGTTACTCTGTCTCCCCTGTCCCGTGCTTTTCATTGTGTCTCCCCTCTCGCGCACGCTTTCCACTTCCTCCTATCCAGCCAATGGTGAGGGTCAGCTGACCTCGCCTGGCTGGCAGCAGTGCACGCCTTGATTTGATTCAGTCAATGCCGATTCTGCATTATTACCACTCTGTGTCGCCCCTTTCACGCACGCTTTCCACTTCCTTCCCCCTACCCAGCCAATGGTGAGGGATGCATAACAGCATCTGACGTCGCCAGGCTGGCAGCAGTGCACTCTCCGGTCCAAGCAAAGTCATTTCCACTTTCACCCTTCCCTTCCCGCAAACCCCCGTCAACCCCCCGGGCCCCCATCCTATCCAGCCAATGGTGAGGGGCACATAACAGCATCTGACGTTGTTAGGCTGGCAGCAGCAGCAAATAGAGGATATGGTCACACTTTTCAGCCATTCACAGGTGAGTTTTGACCTTTGAGTGTATACAAATGTATGTTTAGGCCACAGAATGTTGGTTTTATGTAGCAATTGATCACACCTGTGTTTTGTTTGTTATCCCCGCGCGTGTCACATTCTCCTGCTACCGTTGTAAACGTAATGGCAAGTGTCAGTAGCTGGCCACCTTAGTCTCATGTTGTCAGTTCTGTTTTTGAAATGGGTGGAATACGACATGCCTCATCATACTCTACCAATTGTGTCGTCGTTTCTTTTGCAGGGCGACTGGATGGGAATGTTGGAATTTCGGCACGTTTTGTCACAATGTGGACGGCTTTAAATGAAAAACTATCACCGATTCATCTTTGTGTTGCGTCGCATTGCAATCTTATGGTTTGATACCATCCCCGGCATAATTGATGTGTGCACAAAATCTATTGTTTCTTTTATCTTGATACACCGTCTTCATATGAGCGGAAAATACTATGAGTAAATGCATCGGTACCTATAGAATATTGAATGCAATATGAAGTGGTATGGTCCCAGCAGTGCCCTAGATATCAGACTTTTTACTCTGATTCAGAGTTCGTTCAGACCTTTTTTTGGTACCTAGGCTGAACTCAAAGTTTTTTTTTTTTTATGTACCTTGTCTGTTTTTTCAGAGTTTTATTTTATGACTTGGCTGAAATTTCAGCCTAATTTTATGAGTGTAGGCTGAGCCCTCAGCCTTGTATCGGGGGTGCACACTGAATCCGGCAATACAGGGATTTCCGCCAGCCTGTAGGATTACCGGTAACACTGTCAATCACGGGCGGGAAATCAAGTTTTCCCCCGCGAGGCCCCGCACTGTCGCGTTGGTACAGAAAAGCGGCCAATCAGGGTTGCGCACAGGGCCTCAGAAGTCAGGATTTTTACCCTGAATTCCTGAAGTTTGACCCTCGTTTTTTATCGTGACCCTGATGTATCAGCCTTTTTTTTTTTAACGACCCTGATGTTTCAGTGTTTTTTTATGTGTAACTCTGTTTTTTCAGTGTTTTGTGTTTGAGGACACTGACGAGTCAGTGTTGCATCGAGTTCGACCCTGAAACTAGAAACGGCGCAATCTGATTGGCCCAAGTGTTGTAGGGAGTTCATCCTGTGATTTGCGCCATGACCTGCTACTTCGCCTGTCAAGCTCCTACAGTACCGCCAGCTGTTTTGCTGCACATGGCATCCTTCGTGCCAGGTGGTAAACTTCTCAAGTTCTGATTGGTTGCCACTAATAACCTGTACCATCTTGACTGATTTGGCCTCGCAGCACACAAAGCCAGAGGTACGTGTTTCCCTCCAATGCTGGCATCGTGGTGCTGGTGTGGTGTGCTGAGCAAACCATACTCGATGCTATCATAATTCCCCATACTAGCAAAGGAAATCAGTGTTTATGTTATTTAGAACACTGATTGATCGGTGTAATTCTTTTGTGAACACTGAAAAATAAGTGTTTTTTAGATGATGACACTGAAAATCAGTGTTAGTCCTCAAAGAACACTGAGTGATCAGGGTGCCCCAAAACCAATCTGAGGCCCTGGTTGCGCAGCTGGCAGCGTTGGCAATAATCGTTGCCAACGCATGGCTCTCAGTCTCAGCGCGCTACGCCTCGTACGGCACCACAAACTTCCACCCCACCCCACCTTCCCTGCAAACACGACCGCTCTCCTCCAAGAGACAGGGAGCCTTCAAGGGCTCGGAAGGAGGCTGTAGAGGTTGAGCGTGCTCCTGTAGAGGTTCAGACTCTGACTCAGATATGTGACATGTTTTATTGTGTTTTTTATGAAAGTTTTACAGCTAACTTTGAAAATTTAGCCTAAAAAACATTGAGTTGTCTGATTTTTCAGCCTAAATTTTTGGGGCCACGCTGAATCACAGAGTTCTAACAGGGGTGCACGCTGATCGATCAGCGTGCCTCAAAACGAATCTAGGGGCCTGGGTCCCAGGTTCTAGCTTGCAAAGTAAACGCTGAATATACAGTTGATAAACAATGGACAGCCTACAAGAATCTGTCTGTCACTCTTTCTATACCGAGAAGAAGTGTTTGTCAAGGAGCAGTCATACTTAGAAAGAGCGGTTTGAAACTCCTGCATTGTGCAGGGTGAATGGTGTTTGCTCGCTTTGGAATTTCTACATCTGCTTGATGTCTCTGTGTGTTCGATTTGGACTAGACATTGCACTGCACCCCCCCTGACCCGAAAAAAACTAAAACCCAATCGGAAAGGGATGCCACTCAGGAGGCATCAACCCTAAAAAAAAGGCCCTTTCCAGTGTTTAGGGTTGATGCCTCCCGAAAATGCGTCCAGGTTCCCTAGGGGCTTTAGTTTGTTTCTGCCATGCCCTAACAGTTCTCGGTAGCGTCGCCTAGTGCTCTCGGTAGCGTCGGTAGCGCTACCGACGCTACCGAGCGGAATATATTGGCTTGATGCAGAAGTTTATGCCAATGGGCAGACCATTGGCTCGGGGCAGGACCATCGTTTAAATATTACAGGACCCTTCGCCTCTGGGCAGCCGTCAGGGTTTTTTTTTTTGTATTTCACTACTCGGATTTTTAGGGTTGATTTGAAGAAAACTCTAAAAATCAAGGGTGATCCTGAGCGTTACTCTGATTTGTCAGAGAAAACTTAACTTCCAAAAAAAAACTATGTAAAGTACACGTTACTATTTTCACTACTCTGAGTGCTCTCTCCAAGTTTTGAGCCCTGCACCTTAACGTTCCCAACAAAGAAATACCGTTGTGCTATTTCCACATAGAAAGTACTACGCAAGTAGGGTACAGGAGGGGTGCCTGTACCCTGTACAGAGGAAATGATAATCTCCTGAAAATTACACTGAGGCATCAGATTCCCTTACAAGATTACTCTGACAAATCATAGAAAAACTAACTCCCAAAAAAAATACCCAGCAAGTACAGTGTAGGTACCCTATCAAAAACCACTCTGATTTTCAGAGAAACAGAGTAATTTGCTCTGATAAAAAACCCCTGGCAGCCGTACTGAATCTCTACTGTAATTGGGGGTGGACTCGTTTCCTAGTGCGTGATCCCTAATTTGAGCGCGGATGCTAACCTTTTCTTGCATGTTTTGAGTACCTATGCAGCTTCTTCACAGTTCTGATTGTTCTGGCTGTGCAACCTTGATGTCATTGGCGGCAAATACGCCGGTCTTACGCTTTCCTAGTGTTTTAACCATTTCAATTCTGTGCGGGACCTTGGGATGGAAGATGCCGCCCAAATAGAATGGCAGCTTCAAAACTGCTGCTGCCTCACGGAACCACACCCGAAATTTTACCGGGGTGAAGCATGCTTTGTCAATTAGTGGCGCTTGAGCTTCCACGGTGTTTTTTTCTGGTCAGAAGTGCGTGGACTGGCGTGGTATATTTTTTCTGGCACTGCCCCACGCTGACTCTCTCCTCTCGAGCCCCAGTGTGAAGCTAGAGCGGTGCGGTGGCACAGCTGTGGAACAAACAAAACTGGACAGAATATTCTTGCAGGTGTTGTTAGTGGTATCAAATCGGTTCTGTGCGTTAAGCCATGGTTCTTTGTGCTAGAACCCTTTTTGCCAGGAACTTGCAGGAACACAAAACCTCCTACCACTTGGCTTCCTCTCAGAGTTCTTTCTTGCAGAAACCAGCAACACTGCAAGTGTAAATTGTCCTGCATTTTTTTTGCATCTTGTCTCAGGGGACTTTCATCTGCTTGCTAGGTGCCGTAGATGCTCCCTGCTTCGGAGTCCCTACCAAGGATCCCTTCGTTGATTCACTGTTGTTTATACATCCTTGATTTAGGAGCTTCGGACACAGATTGAAAGCTTACCCGAAGACCGAGATCAATCACATAAATCCTTCCGGCTATGGCGGAGTTTCTACTCCAAACGTACGTTTATGTTATATAGGGTTGCGAGTTTTTATATGCTTGTTGTGGGAATGAATTTAAGTTCAATGCACCGTGACTGACCTGGTTTGTAATCCGGTGGTTTGGCAGATCTGAAATCGATGGGAGCGACTCGCCACCAATACACATTCAAGCTGAGGTCAACGTGCCAATCCAGCAGCGGCTCAGCCTTTTTCAAGGCTTGAACGTGGGTGAATCAGGGAACGTGAATGCAGATTATGGTCCTGACATGCGAAGTCCCTTGGAGGTTGTTCATTATGGACACCATGGCTTTCCTCTGGAAGCTTCTGCTGCTGGGGCCATGCCTGACGGACGGATGCTGCAACAACGCCATTACAACGCCGCGGCCGCGGCCGGTGCAACCACGACGGCATGGCGACCCTTGGCGTCTTTCACGCAGGTGCTGCAGTCCGTCTCCCCGGCGTATCAGCTCAGGCGAAGGCCGGCCGGCAGCATGATTCATACTCATCATCAGGAGCACGTCATGACTAATGATAACCCGGAGGCAGGCAGTAGCGGCACCACCAGTCATGTAAACCATGTGCATGGTAACAGTCTTGATGGGAATTTGAGGCCAGAAATGGAATGGGATGGTGAGCAGCAGCAGCAGCAGCAGCCAATCAGCGCTTCTATGCTGATGCTGCAGCACTACCAGAATCCTGGAGGCTTGCCCACTGGCTGGAGGGACTATTTCTCCTCAGTCATCTCGCAACAACAGCATTTCTTCTCGAGCATCTCTCAGCGACAGCAACACCCCGTGTCCCTGCACGATCCACGCTCCTCGTCTAGTAATCATCCTGGTCATCCCGTTCCTCGCCCATCAGGAGAGCTCTTCAGGCCGGCTGTCTACTCTGGAGCAGCTACTTCAGCGCGTGAGAGCACCAGAGTCATGGGAGCACCATCTACTCTGGGAGCAGCTATTCCTGTTGAGGCAACCCAAGATGTTTCGGCACGCGCAGTTGCAGCCCACGGCGAGGTTCTAGGAGAATCAATATCAGCACCAGAACGCCACCAGCAGCAGCCAACAGCCGGTTACCCTGCTTCTGCTTCCCCTGCGATTGCATTTCCTGCCATGCTCCAACCCAGAGGTCCAGCCGCTTCATCTGCAGCAGCTTCTTACATGCGACCTCACGGCCAAATGGGATCAGCTGTTGGTGGGGTTGGTGGTGCTGCCTCTGGTAGAGCTACAGCTGTTTTTCAACTGCAGCTGCCCGGGTTTCAGCTGCCCGAGAGGACTCGCCCGCCGCCACCTGTCATCACGCACACGTGGACGGGACGAACGCTGCCTCAACCTGCCGCCTCGGCCTGCTCCCCTGCTGCTACTGCTGCTACAGTTTTTACTACTGCTACTGCTGCCATTGCTGCTATTGCCGCCACTGCTCCCACTTCTCCCACTGCCACTGCTGGTACTGTTATTGCTGGTACTGCTTGTACTGCTAGGTTTCCCACATGCGTTCTTCTGACTGCTCCACCTGGCATTAATTCGTTTGAGGATGACTCAGTATCTGCATCGTCATCATTTCCCTACCCTGATGGGTTTGGCGGAAACACTGTTCCAACCGGTACTGGTGGTGGTGTGGCTTCAGGGCGTGGCGGCAGTGTGGCACCAACGGCAGCAGAAGTAGCCGCAGCAGCTGATGTCACTTCTGCTGCCATTGCTGCTGATATGGCAGCAGGTGTGACGGCCGCAGTTTACTGTGTTGCTGCTGCTGCTACTGCTGCTGCACCCCATGCTGGGGCTGTTGCTGCTGCAAACTCCGGTGGTGCTATGGAGATGGATTCTCACCATGCTGACAATGCTGCGGATTCTGATGATGCTGACAGCTGTGACGATTCAGACTCTGCTGCTTCTGCGAGGGCAGCTGGGCAGCACAGCACGGGCCAAGATGGGTCAGACGCACGGCAATGGAGCAGCTTGTTGCCTTACAGGTCGACAGTCGTTGCCTCTGCGCTCGATGCCTCTGCGCTCGATGCCTCTGTGCTCGTTGCCTCTGCGCTCGATGCCTCTGTGCTCGTTGCCTCTGTGCTCGATGCCTCTGCGCTCGATGCCTCTGCGCTCGATGCCTCTGCGCTCGTTGCCTCTGCGCTCGACGCCTCTGTGCTCGTTGCCTCTGCGCTCGTTGCCTCTGTGCTCGATGCCTCTGCGCTCGATGCCTCTGCGCTCGGTGCCTCTGCGCTCGATGCCTCTGCGCTCGATGCCTCTGCGCTCGATGCCTCTGCGCTCGATGCCTCTGCGCTCGATGCCTCTGTGCTCGATGCCGCACAGGTCTGTGTGTCCCAGCAGGTCGCCACACCAGCTGCATTGGAGTGTCTTCCAACCCAGTAGCACCAGCTCAATCTGAGTCAGGCAACACCAGCAGTGCTGCAACTACATCAGCAGTGCTGCAACTACATCAGCAGTGCTGCAACTACATCAGCAGTGCTGCAACTACATCAGCAGTGCTGCAACTACATCAGCAGTGCTGCAACTACACCAGCAGAGCCACGACCTCAGCCAGGCTAGCAGCTGTGATACCATGGCATGGAAGTTGGTTGGAGGCAAAGTGGAGTGGGGAGGGCGTCAGTCGAGGGGGGTAAAGCGAGGGTCGGAAGGGGGGGTTGGGGGAGTGGCGGAAGAGGGAAGACGTGGCGGAAAAAGCTGATGTGGCAGTGAGTGACGTGACATGGCAAATGAGTGGTGGGAGAGAAATGTGACGTGGCGGGAGAGCGATGTGATGTGGCAGGAGAACAATGTGATGTGGCTGATTGCAGCACTTACGGTGAGCAGAGAAAAAAGGGAGGACCAGTGGAGGGTGACAAGGACAGACCTGGCGGATGGGGAAGGTGGAAAAAAATGATGGGTTACAGAGGGTGTAATGTGGTGTCGTGGGGTATGCTGACTCACATGGCATAGTTGACTCACGCATGGTTGAAAAATGCTGTTAGCCGGAATATAACAAATAAATAAATATATAAAAACATTAAGAAAGAGTGTTTGGAGACGCCTCAATGCCCACAACGACTCACTGGAGGGTGGTGGGAGCACCAAAGGCAGTGGCTGCGAGTGCTGCAGCAAAAGCACCTGGTGGTGAAGCAGAAAAGGGAAAGAAAGAGAATAAGTGGGGCCAGGGGTGGGGGGGGGGAGGAGGGAGGTGGAAGAGCAAGGGAGGGATGGATGTGAGTTGGTGCACATGCGAGTATCGATGTGAGGAGAAGGAGAGGGACGGGGAAGATGAGAGGTAGTATACGGAGGAGGTGAAAGAGTTAGAGGAGTCAATTACCGATGCATGTCAGGCCGATGGCAGTGGTGATGTGAGCAATGACGTGCATGAGATGTCCTCCGGGCTGCATGAAAGGAAGAGGCACACTCAGCCACGTCATACCACATGATGCCACATCAGACGATGTCATACCACATCATTGCACAGACATTTGTAAAAGAAATATGAAGCTTGGGAAAGAGCTACCACATTCAGCTGCTGACATGGCAACACGCTGACATGGCAACACGATCAAACGGTGACATGCAAGAAGGGGATCACCTGCATGTTTCCGTGTGGGGATGGCGTGAGTTGGACAGATGTTGAAGGGCGGAAGGGAGGGAGGGAGAAGAGAAGCAGTGCTGCTGGTAGAAATAGAGCCTGTGACGAGGGATGGTTGGGATGGGGGAGACAAGGAGAGGAAATAAAGGGAGAGGACAAGAGAGGAGTGGACAAAAGATAGGGACAGGAGATAAGAAAAAGGATGCAGTTACACTTGCTAGCCTAGAACACACTCCCGTATCCCTGTCAGGAAGATAAGTACAGCAGGGCATGGCATCAGCAGGGCAAGATAAGAGGCGCTAGGCCAAGATGCCATGCTAGAAGCGTGGCGACACGGTATTCCTATCCGAGTCGCACTTCTCTTTCCTAGGATAAATATCTTCTCAGATTCTTCTTGTATCACCCTTGGATCTACTTTCTATTCTACTTCTTGGATCTCTCCTCAACTCTCTCGTCATCTACGTTCCTGAAGCTAGGCTCTCGGCTTAGCTTTCACCTTTCTCTCCTTCATACGCGACTACTCTCCTCTCTTCTATTCAACAAGCTATGGCGCCGCTCTCCTCGCTAGGCCGGCCAGGCCAGCCGCGCCGTGCGTCGCTGCGCCGTAGCCTTGTTTCAAGGAGGCGAGAGAGGGAGGTGGGGAGGGAGGGAGAGAGGGAGGAAGGGAGAGGGGGGGAAGGGAGAGAAACGATCATTTGGAGAGAGATGTAGGAGGGAATGGAGCCGTGAGAATGAGATGATGGAAAGGGAATAGAGTGAATGATGCATAGGGAAAATCGAGCTAGCTAGACCTTGGAACGGCATGACTCGATTTTTTGTTTTCTCCATTTTTTCCATTTTTTCATTTCTGACTCACAGGCAGAATAAGACATCTGAGTTTTGAAGTCATCAAGGCGGAATGTGGAACAGACATGCATGTGGACATGATACACGTCAGCGGCTCACTCGTTAAATCCACTCCCCACAGCTGACGTGGCAGCAGCCACGCTTTACTAAGGGCTGACGTGGACTCCACGTAGCTTCGTGGCCCCTCGAGCCATATCGCGACCGTATCAACGCGGCTTGGGGCGAGTCGCTAGGAGATCGAAGTGTTCTATTGTTGGGAACCAGAAGCCTGGTTTCGGCGGGAATTTCTGGGATTGCTGCTACTACCAGAAATATAAGCTTGCGCTGAGCGCGTGGGGCTCATTCGCAGTTGCTTTGCAACCAGGTGTCAGTCAGCTGATTGGGCAATTTGAGGCACCTCTCGAGATCAGATGATCAAAAGGTGTTTTGTCACGGTCGTGTACGGTTACTTGTGTTTTGTCACGGTCTAAAGCCCTAACAAAATCAATCTGATGTTTTGGGAACATTTGAATTTGCAACAATCCGGATCCCAGCCACAAATTTGATGTTGAACCTTGAAAGCCCCACCCAGAGAGCAAGTGAGTACTGTATTTTTTTCGGTGACTCGAAGCTCAGCTCATTATGAAAACACTCCCTCATTCCTAAGCCCAACCCTAAAATCCTGATGGACTTTCGTCACCATCACGCTCCCCGTCCACTTTGAGGCTGTCCGTTCTGTAAGTTATAATCGGCTGTCGTTGACACTCACCGTCCCCTACCAGCCGGGAGGGACTCACGCGTTTGATGAGTCTGAATTCCACCGACGTTAGCGCGATTAACACGAAGGATACCGTAGAACGAATTAGTCGGTTTAGGATATGAGTAGGCCTGTCGTTGCAGCTGCAACTACTACTATTTGTCATTGATGACTATCACGATATGGCGTAAGGCTCCAAAGGATTCCCGTGTTCCCGTTTGAGAGAATCATGAAACCACCACCGCGAGCAACGAGGAGTTCGAGAGCGAAAGCAGAAGAGGAGGAGGTGGGTGCGACGCGTGTCCGCTGCGAATCGGCGATAATCAAGCGAGGAGAATCAAAGGAGGCAGGAAGTGTTTCGGTTGCAAAATTGGAGGGTGCGATGCGTGTCCGCCGCGAATCGGCGATAGTCAAGCGAGGAGATTCAGAGAAGGTGGAGGAAGCGAAGTTTCGGGCAGGAAGTGATTCGGCAGCAGAACTGAAAAGAAGCGACTCCGACTCCGCGAATTCCGAGGGCGCTGACAAGGGTGTCACGGATAGGGACGCTGACGGTGACGCCAGTACGGATGCTGACGTGGACGCCAATGCGGACACTGACAGGGATGCGGCTGGGAGAGGCGGTGCGGGAGGCATGACGGCGTACGAGCAGCTGAGAGCGGATCGCATGGCGAGAAACGCGGCGCTGCTCGCGGCGCTCGACGTGAGCGCTGCAGCGAGGCGGCTCAAGTCGACTGCGCAGCCGCAACAACGACGACTTGCGCCCTCTCAAGGTTGTCGCGGCCGCAACAATCATACCTGTGTGAGAATATGATCGTTCTGAGATGCCGCTTAGTTTTCGTGCAGCAGGAGCGGCCACTCGCGCCCTTTGAAGGAGGAAGTACCCGTTCGGTAGCACCCATATGGTGTGCTGTGGTGCGCTGTGGTGAGCTGTGTGTCCTCTGTCTCAATCTAGTGCATCCAGCGTTTGGATACTTCTTTGTGTCTGGCGCGTTTAGCTGTGCTTGTAGGGTGATCTGTGGTCGAAGCATGGTGATTGTGTGGATTGGTAAAGTTATTGGTGTGGTTCGGCACGGTGACTGTGTGGATTGGCAAGGTTATTGGTGTGGTTCGGCGCGGTGATAGTGTGGATTGGCAAGGTTATTGGTGGTTCGGCACGGTGATTGTGTGGATTGGCAAGGTTATTGGTGTGGTTCGGCACGGTGATTGTGTGGATTGGCAAGGTTATTGGTGTGGTTCGGCACGGTGATAGTGTGGATTGGCAAGGTTATTGGTGTGGTTCGGCACGGTGATAGTGTGGATTGGCAAGGTTATTGGTGTGGTTCGGCACAGTTATAGTGTGGCCCAGCCAGCTCCTCACCTTGTTTGTGTTCCGCATGTGCTCGTCATTCTCTCTCATTCAGGCACTCGGCGGTCGTTCCGTGTTCAGATAAAGACAGGAGGAGGACGCAGTGGTGGCAGCGGTGGTGGTGGTGGTGACAAGGGGGAGGGGGAAGAGGAGGACGAGGAGGAGGGTGAGGAGGAGGAATTGGGGAAAGACGGCGAGTATATCCCAGATGAGATTGCAGATGATGATGAGGATGAAGAGAGGGATGAAGGGGAGGAGGAGGGGGAAGATGAGGAGATGGAGGGAGGGGAGGGTTGTGGTGGTGGTGGTGGTGGCAGCAGTGGGAGGAGGAGTGGGCAACAGTCGGGGAAACGTGGTGCAGAAACGCAGCAGCAGCGGGGGAGCAAGTGGGGGAGGGGGATGGAGTTGGGAGCGGTTGGTGCTGGTGACAAGGACGAGGAGCTACAGATGGTGAGTGGGTTTCTGAGATGGTTGCCTTAAGAGGGAATGGTTTGAGGAAACGAATATCGAGGAAACGACTTTTGAGGTGACTCAAATTATTTATCTGAGGTGATCGCACTGATATTGGATGTAGGCGCTACATTTGAGGCGCCTACAAAAACGCCTGGAAACGCCACAGATGGTTTTTTCAAAGTTTTTTGTAGGCTCCTCAATACCTTGACCGTTGGTTCACATTTTGTTATGAGAACATTCTTTCGCATGTTGCATCCGTTTGCATGCATGCTGCATGATGCGGCTACACTGTCAGGTATGCCATGCCAAACCCTGAAGTGCTCAAACACTCCAGATTCGTTGGGCTTGTCAGACGTTGTGCGCTGACACTTCAAATCAAATCCATAATGTGGGCATGTTATGCATTGTGCGGTGCCACGCCAGACCCAACACTCGAGTTATGAGGAGCTTTAAGACACGCCAGACCCAACACACGCATAGAGTTAACTGTTCAAAATAATCAAGAAAGCGGTTGTGCGGCGCCATGCCATGCATGCCAGGCTCAACACACGCGCACAGTTCACTGCTCCCAATGTGATAAAAGTTGTATTTTGAGACGTCTCAAAACACACGCACACAGTTCACGTCTCAAAACACACGCACACAGTTCACGTCTCAAAACACACGCACACAGTTCACGTCTCAAAACACACGCACACGGTTCACGTCTCAAAACACACGCACACAGTTCACGTCTCAAAACACACGCACACAGTTCACGTCTCAAAACACACGCACACAGTTCACGTCTCAAAACACACGCGCAGTTCACGTCTCAAAACACACGCGCACAGTTCACGTCTCAAAACACACGCGCACAGTTCACTGCTCCCACTCTGTGCTTAGCGTTGCCTCTGCCTCTCATCGCGCCTCCCTCCATTCTTCTCCAGCTCTTTCTGCCTCTCTCCTCCTCGCTTTGCCTCTCTTACCTATCTCTACCTACCTCTGTCCACCTTTGATTACCTCTGTCTACCTCTGTCTACCTCTCTCCACCCCTCTCCACCCCTCTCTGCCTCAGGCAATCGCCCTGTCACTCTCCATGACTGGAGGAGGTGGAAGAGGAGGAGGAGAGAAGGGTAGAGGAGGAGAGGGAGAAGGGAGGGGTGGAGGCGATGAGAGTGATGTGGGCAGAGGCAGAGGCAGGAGAGGCAAGATCAAGGTGCGTGGAGTGTTGAGATCATGGGGGTGTTGAGAATGCGGGAGTGTTGGTGAGAGTCCCAAACAGCTTGTCAGAAGTCTTCTGAGTCGTAAAGGTGGTGTGTCGCTTTCGAGAATTCTCAAATCGGGACACCTGTGCGTGCCCTGGGCCTGGGATTCTCACTGAATAGGTGTTCTCATCTCACCCTAAACCCGAGGCCTTTCCTGCATCCTCCCCAGCCACCCCACCCTCCTCCGTGTTCCTGGCATGCAAAGCGGCATCAAAGCACTTTGAAGAAGCTCACTGACTGTGAAGCGAACTCCCTCGCTCACTCACTCACTCACTCCCTCAATCACTCACTCACTCACGACTCACTCCCTCACTCACTCACTCCCTCACTCCCTCACCCACTCCTTCCCAGCAGGTGATGCGGCGTAGGAGCCCGTTGAGGAAGCTCACAGACCCGCTGACTCCTACATTCACTCACTCACCCACTCACGCGCTCACTCACTCAACAATTTCCAAGTCCTTCGCCTCCACGTTTCTCCTTCCCGGCAGGCGAAGCGGCGTAGGAGCCCATTGAGGAAGCTCACTGACTCTGAGGCCGACTCACTCTACTTCACTCTCGATGGTGCGTGTGTGAGAGAGAGAGAGCTCCCTGCTATTTCAGAACACACAAGCATGCATGCACGAGCATCTGCACACACGAGTTGGCTCGCTCTACTTCACTCTCGATGGTGCGTACAAGCACTCCCGTGTCATATGAATGCACTCAAGGCGCACGCAGGCATGCATACGCTTGTGCGCGCACACACATATGCACACATGCACACTCACACACTTGTGCGCACACACACATGCACACACACACACTTGTGCGCACACACACATATGCACACATGCACACACACACACACACTTGTGCGCGCACACACATATGCACACATGCACACACACACACACACACTTGTGCGCACACACACATATGCACACATGCACACACACACACACTTGTGCGCGCACACACATATGCACACATGCACACACACACACACTTGTGCGCACACACACATATGCACACATGCACACACACACACACTTGTGCGCACACACACATATGCACACATGCACACACACACACACACTTGTGCGCACACACACATATGCACACATGCACACACACACACACTTGTGCGCGCACACACATATGCACACATGCACACACACACACACACACTTGTGCACACACACACATATGCACACATGCACACACACACACACTTGTGCGCGCACACACATATGCACACATGCACACACACACACACACACTTGTGCGCACACACACATATGCACACATGCACACACACACACACTTGTGCGCACACACACATATGCACACATGCACACACACACACACTTGTGCGCACACACACATATGCACACATGCACACACACACACACTTGTGCGCACACACACATATGCACACATGCACACACACACACACTTGTGCGCACACACACATATGCACACATGCACACACACACACACTTGTGCGCACACACACATATGCACACATGCACACACACACACACTTGTGCGCACACACACATATGCACACATGCACACACACACACACACTTGTGCGCGCACACACATATGCACACATGCACACACACACACACACACTTGTGCGCACACACACATATGCACACATGCACACACACACACACTTGTGCGCGCACACACATATGCACACATGCACACACACACACACTTGTGCGCACACACACATATGCACACATGCACACACACACACACTTGTGCGCACACACACATATGCACACATGCACACATGCACACACACACACACACTTGTGCGCACACACACATATGCACACATGCACACACACACACACTTGTGCGCGCACACACATATGCACACATGCACACACACACACACACACTTGTGCACACACACACATATGCACACATGCACACACACACACACTTGTGCGCGCACACACATATGCACACATGCACACACACACACACACACTTGTGCGCACACACACATATGCACACATGCACACACACACACACTTGTGCGCACACACACATATGCACACATGCACACACACACACACTTGTGCGCACACACACATATGCACACATGCACACACACACACACTTGTGCGCACACACACATATGCACACATGCACACACACACACACTTGTGCGCACACACACATATGCACACATGCACACACACACACACTTGTGCGCACACACACATATGCACACATGCACACACACACACACACACTTGTGCGCACACACACATATGCACACATGCACACACACACACACTTGTGCGCACACACACATATGCACACATGCACACACACACACACACTTGTGCGCGCACACACATATGCACACATGCACACACACACACACTTGTGCGCACACACACATATGCACACATGCACACACACACACACTTGTGCGCACACACACATATGCACACATGCACACACACACACACACTTGTGCGCGCACACACATATGCACACATGCACACACACACACACACTTGTGCGCACACACACATATGCACACATGCACACACACACACACTTGTGCGCGCACATACATATGCACACATGCACACACACACACACACTTGTGCGCACACACACATATGCACACATGCACACACACACACACACACTTGTGCGCACACACACATATGCACACATGCACACACACACACACTTGTGCGCACACACACATATGCACACATGCACACACACACACACTTGTGCGCGCACACACATATGCACTAATGCACACACACACACACTTGTGCGCACACACACATATGCACACATGCACACACACACACACACTTGTGCGCACACACACATGTGCACACATGCACACACACACACACTTGTGCGCACACACACATATGCACACATGCACACACACACACACTTGTGCGTGCACACACATATGCACACATGCACACACACACACACTTGTGCGCACACACACATATGCACACATGCACACACACACACACTTGTGCGCACACACACATATGCACATATGCACACACACACACACACTTGTGCGCGCACATACATATGCACACATGCACACACACACACACTTGTGCGCACACACACATATGCACACATGCACACACACACACACTTGTGCGCACACACACATATGCACACATGCACACACACACACACTTGTGCGCACACACACATATGCACACATGCACACACACACACACTTGTGCGCGCACACACATATGCACACATGCACACACACACACACTTGTGCGCACACACACATATGCACACATGCACACACACACACACTTGTGCGCACACACACATATGCACACATGCACACACACACACACTTGTGCGCGCACACACATATGCACACATGCACACACACACACACTTGTGCGCACACACACATATGCACACATGCACACACACACACACTTGTGCGCACACACACATATGCACACATGCACACACACACACACTTGTGCGCACACACACATATGCACACATGCACACACACACACACTTGTGCGCGCACACACATATGCACACATGCACACACACACACACTTGTGCGCACACACACATATGCACACATGCACACACACACACACTTGTGCGCACACACACATATGCACATATGCACACACACACACACACTTGTGCGCGCACATACATATGCACACATGCACACACACACACACTTGTGCGCACACACACATATGCACACATTCACACACACACACACTTGTGCGCACA